GGGATAACGATCATAGAGCTGTGATTGTTTATCTTACTAGAAACTAACTTTTACTGTCGAATTACAATCATGACTCTTATATATCAGCTAATGATTGAGATATCAGTAAACCACCCTTAATTCAAACTAAAATATCTACACGAGATGACACACTACTCGAATAATTATACCTGAAAGGTACCTACATGGTAATGTCATAACGGGTATCGCATTGCATTCAATAGTGATTGTACTCGAGAAACATTCAACATCCAAATATTCAGATAATATCGAAGTACAAACAACGATTTCCATATTATTTCCAATCAAGTCTACTAAACATGGTTTTGACTAATTTCTCTGAAGCTGCATGTTTTCAATACCGCCAAGTTTTACGGACGGTTACTATACGATAACCAGATCTGATTATTGCACCCATCTGCTCGTAATTCAGGTTACATTGATCTTTCAAAATTCATGTGAACTGTAACGATTACGCGAATTTTCCTTATAGGTGAATCACATGTTCAATTGAATTTTAGTGTAATTAATTGAAACGGGCATCATGAATCATGTAATTTTTATTGCGGTGCAATGGATATATAGATATTAAAATTGTTAAAAGGTCTTGAACCATTTGTTATCATATGATTGAATCGACTTCAAGGTAAATTGCTTCATGATTTAGTCGTGTATGCAGAAATATAGATCTTAGATGATTGTGGGAAACTTTGCCTCGGTTACTTAATCTAGTGATAAATTGAGCATTTTCTGTTGTTAACAGTCGTCATAATCATTTTATCCCATCACAGTGTGCAACAGATAATTTGAACCTGAATGTTACAAGTTTTTCTCATTTAAGAACAGACTCCAACCATCTTTAACTGTCACACGGTGCATGCATATTGGTCAAAGTGTATGAATATAAATTTGAATAGGTATGGTTGAAGAGTAATAAGAATCAATAACAATACTACTCTTCCATCAGCAGTGGGATGCGATCTTCCATTTCAAAAACTGAGGCAAACATTATAACCCCGAAATTTCTCAGGCGTTGCTCATCGAAATGGCCAGGTAGAGAATCACTGGAACGTGATGACAATTCGCGAAGATTTTTAAGGTTTCACTATCAAACCTAATGCTTCTTGCTCGCGACGTAAATCACATCTTTTTCAAATTGAATCATATTCAATTACGATTTGACTAAATGACCCAAAATTTGAAAACAGAAATCGTCATAACTTTAACGTGTATTCCTTCATCTACCTTTTGAATTATTCAGTGATTTGACTTCATACACTATAGATGAGTTCCATGAAACACAAACGAATATCTAGCTGATCCAGTATATTTACAAATACTAATGAAAATATCTCGGAGACTCACCTACTAAAGTATTTGTACTGTGTATATCAATCACCTTCAAATTATGAATGAGCACTGCATCCTGGTTATCTTATTAGCGTCGGCAAAAAAGCGATGAAGAAAACATTACCACGCAGAAGCTTACATCTGAGTGCCACAATCATATGGCATGTCATTCAACTTGCAAATAATGAGCCAATATACAAACAGAAACTTACTGTCAAGTCTCATAAATAGAGCGTCGAAGAAGTTTTACCTGTTTAGTCATTCGAATTGAAGATTTACCTAATTTTACGGTGAACACCTACTGACTTACGGAAGGGATGGATAAGAATAGTAATTCCGAATACTCCGTAATAAATTCTTCGACGTTTCTTTTGCCCAACTGTAGTAGTATGGCCAACAGTTGCTTCCATGCACGGGCAATTTTTTAAAGCCTGCGCCATATATTTCATGGCCATAACAAAAATAACTTTGTACGTTAAATTCACACAAAACTAGATGAATGGGCTTCATGTTTTTTTACTGGACTGCACCATCCACTGGATTGTATCATCCGAATTACCGAAATGTCAAACCATCCCGTTGTCAAGGTACAAAAATCTTTAGTTAACTTTATTAATAAAATCTACACGAAACAGTTCTATAACAACATGAACACGGAAGTTTTTACACTATGTAAGGACACAGTTAACACTGGAGTCAGGTGAAGAATATTGAAACTCATTCCAAGAGTAAGGTAACGACTAACCCTGTGGATTACTACGCCATCAATTATTAAGTGTCGTAGATTCGCTTCTCTCTCGCTTTAAGAAAACCTTGCGTATATGGAACTCGCTCAATTCGTAAACCACACTTAAATTTGAATTACATTGAAGGAATACATTTTAAGAACCGGAAGAGGCAAATTTGGCTATTTCTAAAACACCAAATTAAGGTAAAAGCTACGCACAAGACTGAAAATTATTTTCTTGAAAGTACATAAAAATTTAACAAGTGCGCAAAAGCAAATAAAAATTTCCAAATCCATTTCCAAAACACACAAAACTATTCGACCGAAAACCAGTGGCGATTTTGCAGCAATACAACAGTGCTTGGCTCGCAATTATGAAAAATTTTTACTATTGATAATTTCGAACGTAAAAAACAAAAACTAAAACTAGTATTATAAGTGATCGAACGAACAATCAGTCAAAGTACCCCAGCATAGTAGTTCGGTAGAAATGAATAAAAGCTCCTTTAACGATTTCAGGCCGTCAACCGAAGCCGATGGCCCTCGAACCGAAGCGACGTTTTAATCTTTATCCCACACCCCTATGGTCTGATTCCGTAAGCACCATCTATGAAGTCGCTGCTAACTTCAACCACCTCCGCATGACCGTAGCCGGCAGAAATCAATAGTACGTCTCTCGCTCGATGAACGACCCGGGTCCGCTTCGGCGCAGCACCGAACGGCGGGACTCGTCGTAGACGAATATTAGTATCGAAAACGGAAGAGCAGGAAACCACCACCAAAATCTGAAAAGACGAAGGAATTACCGGTTAGCAAAATATGACTCTGAGTCATGTGTTCAAAAAGTTCCTACCTCAAAGGATACATACGCAAACCCTTGTCTAAACCAGGACAGAACGCCAGAAAAGCGGCTAAGGCAGTTTCGAACACAAGGCCAAAATTTAATGTCCAGTTACTAAAAAAACAAAAGAAATAAAATAATACTATTTTGCCAAAGAAACTACCTCATTCCTTGTTGAATCAAAGAATTCCGCCTCGTCTTTGAAATGATCAAATCTGCCCACTGTACAGTAACAATTGAACTGAAAAACGCCGTGTGACACGTGTATTCAAGAACTTTTCTCGAAGCATACGTCTAAAACAGAAACCAATTACGCCATAAACTTTAGTTAGTACAGGAAAATAAGCGGCTTATTAAGTATAACTTAATACAACGAATGCACAGAAATTTACTAAGCTTGCGGCAGGTGATTTGTCTGAATAAAAGGCTAAAGCGGAATACCCCGATGAAGATTCAAATTTCAAACTTCGACTGCAAGTCTAAGACACTATGATAAATGTACTGCACGAAAAGAGAATATAAAAATTATTTAAAAATTGAGAATTAAAATTAAAACCAGTGCAGAAACAGCGAGGAAAAATAGCAGGGTCATTCATATGATGAAGAACCGGAATAACAAAACATTTAGCAAGCCTCAGCCTTCATATCTGTCTAATGACGGCAGAATACAGTTGTAATGATCCTCACACCCCATCTCTTTTCTGATCGTAGAGAAGTGATCAAATAAATAATCGATGGCTCAAGTTAAATGAAAGTTCATTACAAAACATACCAAAAGTATGGAGGATGAACTTAGTCCTATCGAAAGATTAGGATAGGAGAACCAAGCCACAACACTAGTACTGCATAATGAGTAACACTGATAACTAAGATGCGCTACATCCACGATAATAAAAGCTGGACATGTCAAAAGGCTGTATAAGCTTCATAATTAAACGTCATCAAAATAGACGTAAGCTAAAAATAGCGCTATCAACAAAGCGCAGTGAAGATCAGCATCTAAATGTTAATTAACTTGCTGTATCATTCCGTCCTTCATCGTAGAGCTACGGTTTCTCAGAAAAAAACAACGTGTCGAAAAACTGTTACTCATCTCAAAACAACAACTGAAACAAAAAAAACTGAAACCAAAAATAAAACTTAGCATCGTTTACCCATTGCTGGCCATAGCTATCGTGCAAATCATTTACAGCTCGCGAATCCCACTCAGAACGAATCCCGAACAGGCGCTGCGGAAGAAAGCCGTTTTCGCCCATAATGACGAAATAACTGAAAAATCCAGCACTCGCCTGAATAATCCCTATCATGCCATATGAGAAGGAGATCAGCCTGAAAAGAAAAGTATCACTCACACAAAACGCATCTTGAAGTCAATCAACAGAAGAAGAATTGATAAGTAGATAAATTTAATATCTGATGATTAAAACGAACATATATAACTTTCAACAACAGTACGAGCCTTTAAATCTGGAACCAGTAATCTAAAATGGGTCGACATAGCCGTTTTATAGTAGGAGAGCGTTTCAAGCTAGATAACCTACCTAGGTCGGCAGTAAATATTGCATATTTTTTGGTAGAGCTGAATGAGAATACAGCTTATGCATCTTAAAACATTAACGAAAAAGCAAGTTTTTGACAATATGCTGAACACATCATCACGGAATTTGATTATTTCAATCCCTGCGACAGAAGAGTGTAAAAAATGCTGAAGTCTACAGTACACTCGCTTTTTATAGTAGTCATGTGCAGGAGCAACGCAACGGTTATGCATAAAGCATGAAGTCAATAGACAGAGCAACCAGGCAATCAAATTTCATCTCGACTCGGGCAGCCACCAGTGGTAACTAGTGCTAAAAATTATGTTCACGTTAATGCGAGACGCTTCACGTTGGAATACAGCCTTTTCTTCTCCAGATTGAGAAGTCACAGCTGCGATGGCTTGGGCATGTGTTGCGAATGCCTCCAAAAGGGAAGGCTAAGCAATTCTTCCTTGCAAATCCGCCCGGCAAAAGGCCCAAGGGACGGCCAAGATTAACCTGGTGCAAACATATGGAAGGAATCTGTTCCAGACTCCACTTGTCTTTTGCCGAAGCTCAGACTCTGGCAGGGATCGGGAACGTTGGAAGCTCTGTCTGACACGTCTGCCTCTGCGACCAGAAAGGAGAAGCGGCGATGGAAGATGAAGAAGATGATTATGGGAGACGCAAATGACAATTGCGTCATCTTTCAGTCGTAGATCATCAAACTCGAGCTACCAAACATGGCTCATTCATAACTCGTTAGAGGTGGAAGAATGCAATTCATTTTATCACATTCATAGTCAAGAGACTCGCCACAGAGAAATTCGAAATACTCGACATATGTCGTGAACCATGTTTTACATCACTTCGTATTTAAGAAGACAGCTGATATCTAAAGAAAACTACCCTGTGCCGATTTCTGGTTGTAAAAGCTGTTTGATCAACACTCAAAAATTGTAAGATACGACTTACACCTGACTCCAGCATTTATAGGTCTCCTACCACAAAGGTAGTTTACAGTAATACACACAATAAACA